CATCCGGCTCGGTGTCTGGGGGTGGGGTGGGTGGTGCTGGTGGAGGAGGAGGTGGAGGTGGTTATATAACGTGTGCGCAGAGGACGCCGGGCGTCGGTCCCGGTGGGGCCCTGGCGGAGCTCCGAGCCTGGTTTCGTGCTTTGTGTCCGGGAGCTGCGGGGCTCTGAGGCCGGACTGCAGGTGCACCGGGCCCGCCGCTCCATCCGGGCCGCAAACCGGAGACAAACGAGGTCAGAGAGCCGCAGTCCGCCGGAGGAGCTGCTGCCAACGGCCCGATATCCACCAATCAATAAATGTGGTAATCGATCAGCCTCCGGACGGTCGGGCAGGCCCGGCTCTTTGTGCTGATCGGGAGGAGGAGGATGATGGGCCGCTCGATGAGGAAGCTGCGGGGGCATCTCTTCCAGAATTTTCTCCCATTTTATGAAAGCAGAGAGGAGCTTTAACACAGCCTGCAGAGGTTTGATGAAGTGCTGAGAGCACCTCCTCCTGCTCCTCACAGTCAAACACAAATAATAAAATCCCCAGTTTGGTCTGAACCTTCAGACCTGAGTGTTACTGCAGTGTTGATGTGGTAATACTTCAGCCTTCAGTGTTGGCCGTGCAGATGTTCCAGGTGTTCTTCAGACTGACAGGAAGAATAAACCCCTCTCCTTGTTTCTTCCCGAGGAGAGTGATGGGGAGTTGGTGAGGTTTCAGGAAACATGCGCGTTTGAGCAGCTCAGGAACAAGCAGCGGTGAAACCAAAGTTCCAGAAACACGTGTGTTTGTGGTTCATCAGACTGGAGCAGCCGGGTCTTGGCGAGCTGACTGTAGAGAACGTGGACCCCTCCACAGTCCTCCTGCTGAGGGACGAGGTCAGGGGAGGAACATAAACTAGACTAACGACGAGTCTGAAACTCAGAAACACTCAGATACGACGTTCAATCTGAGAAAGGTTAACTTAAAAGATCAAAAAGGCATTTTAACCACATCCTGCAGTAACGATGCTGTGTTACCAACATCACACGTTAGACTGATGAATGCTGAGTTATGAATGATGCGCGCTAAAATAACTAAACAATAAATCATCCAGTTATTTCCTCCTGCTGGTCTGAAGTCAGCAGTGAGCCCGGACCTCCCTGTCGCCTCCTCCAGCCCGTCAGGACACCTCACCCAGGAGGCGGCAGCCTTAGCCGTCTCCTTCCGATGTGGAGGAGCAGCGGCTCTGCTCCGAGCACCTCCATAAGGACTCCTCGGCCTATCGCTAAGGAGGAGCTCGTCCTTTGTTCAAAGAAAGCTCATTTCCACCACTTGTACCTGCGATCTCGTTCTAATCAGGACTAGATTACAGATTTATGGCGTTTCTCAACAATGATGCGCCACCTGGTGGCAGATGGCTGCGTAGCATCTACGACAATAATTTACAGTCTTTGGGGATCGATTAAAATGTTACCGATGAGGTTAAACGACCAGTGAGTCTGGGACCGAGCAGTGACAGCGACGAGTAGGCGCGTCCCTAATGGAGACGATGCTGCAGCGTTCAGACTCCACAAACTTTGGAGGAGCAGGAGGAGGTGTTTGTTGCTCGGTTGCAGCTGTGAGGCATTCAGGCGTCCTCAGAAACTGTGTTTAATGTTTTGGCATACGTGTGCAGAAAGTGAAGGTCACACTTTACAGCAGTGCACTTCACAGGCTGTTAGCAGGTGTCACTACCCGATCCGTACCGGAAACCCGATCGGTACCCCGCATGCGCAAATCCTACGTCACTTCCTCTCTTTGCCAACATTGCGACATTCAATATATTTGAATGATACGGTTAGCGCCCAGTTAGCTCCTAGCATTTCTCAACAGCTCTGCCTCCTTTTCGACTGCCCGGGACATTTAAACAATGGATAATCCGTATACAAAGAAATTCATGCTTTTCTCCTCAACAGAGAGAGTCCCCCGATTGAGCAACAGCGCCGTAAAATAAGAAGAATGGCGCCTAATTACAGAGTTAATAATGCAGACTTTGTAATATGTCACGTGTAGATTCATCAGCCACATGAAGTGTTTACTGACAACTGACAGTGATGGCGCACATCATCATCACTATTCCAACACTCCTCTCCACACAGACAAGCATGAACACACTCGACTATCACTAAATCAGATTTAACACACGTTTGTAATGACGATAATTCAGTTTATAATAGGGTTTATTCGCTCGGTCAGCAGGTGGCGGTATCCTCGTACACTGGGGAGTAAACTGCCATTAAACAAACAGAAGAAGAAGAAAACATCTGCACATGCGCGGTACGGATCAGGTAGACCCGATTGTACGGTCAGACTTTACACATGCGCAGTAAGGATCGGAGAGTCCTGATCCGTAACTTTCTTTTTATTTTTCGTTTTTGTCTACATTGTACTGAAATGCTTCATTATTGCAAACATGTTAACAGATACTCTGACCCATAACTATCGTAAAACGCTACGACCGGAAGTAGAAACCTTTCGCGCATGCGGGGTACCGATCAGGTAGTGACAGCAGGTTACCGTGGAAACATCACCTGTCTGCTCTGCTGCATGCTTTTTTTTCCACCTGCTCTTATTGTGAAGGGTCAGGCAGAACAGGGGAGGAGCACACAGGTGTCATGGGCTGCTGTGGCCGTTGATGTTGTCGACAGGTCCGATGGGCCTCGCCGTGATGTCACGCAGGGGTCCGAGGGCTCTGCGGCAGCCTGATACCTCCAGGTTCACCGTGCTCACTTTTATCATTTGCCCAGAAAAACATCTGCTTCCAGACGCCGTCACATGATCAGTGGGGCCGCTTGTTTTGCTGCGTGGACGACCTCCCGACAGACGACACCAGTGCAGGATCTCTGAGAGCGCCACACTTCCTGTCAGCCTCTGAACCATAGGAGCTTAATCTGAACCACGCACGTGCTCAGCTGTTATCTGAGGGCCGCAGACGCCGGCGAGTTCTGATCTCGCCCTGATAGACGAGTCAGAGGCCGTGAGGTGGGGGTCACAGGGCGTTCCTCTGAAGTCTCAGCTGCAGGAAGCTCTCAGTGACCTGCAGTTCCTCTGACTTCCAGCAGAGGCAGCAGTGAGTTCGTCCTCATAGACTCCATGTTAAAATAAACACGTTTACATCCTGATACTCAAGCTGTTTAAATGATGTTAAAGCTTGCTCTGTCAGGGGCGGGGCCTCTGCCTGACAGGTGGATGGTGACACAGGTGGCTGTAGCTGCCGGAGCATGTTAATGACATCATCTGACCAATAATATGGCTTCTATTTAATTCTGATTTTAATTGGATGGGGTGGGCGGGGATCATGGCTGCCATAAGTCTACAAGCTAGCGGGTGACATCATAGTGTTGTGCAGTCTGTGGGATACTCACGGGCGTCTGTGGGCCTCGCCAGGACGTGGCGGCTGTTTTACGGCCCGGCGGGATGGTCGGGTGGATGTTGTTGAGTTGGAGAGAAGCAGGATTATGCCTAAGCACACTGGAATGAGAGGGAATAATTCATGAATCGTAAGCATCACGTCAGGGAAAACGTGTCACTTCCTGCCTGTGGACAGTTTGAAGAAAGGACGTGGTCAAAAATCAGCTGACTGATATTTCCTGTCCAGGCCTGACTTCCTGTTTAAAGACAGAGGCCGTGACCCACTCGGACCTGTTACTGTGATCCGGGTAAAACCAGAGCTGCCCGCCAGTCTGAGGCGCCTTTGGAGAACCAGACCGCCGTGTGCTTCGGTAACGTGTGGCTCCAGCTCTGCGGCGCCTCACGGGAATGTCTGCTCGCTGACGTCATCACACACCTGTCTGCAGGTGAAAATCGTACCGTCGCTGTTAAAACTGCAGCGCCTGCTCAGAGGTCGGGTCCTCTTTAGAATAGAATAGAAGTATCCTATATTGTCAGTGAGTGGGAGCACAGTGACGGGCAGGTGGAGCGGGCAGGTGGAGCGGGCAGGTTCACACAGAAATAAAGAATAAACATGAGAGACTGTAGGGCTGTTCGATGTAACGATATAAAAACATCTGTCGTTTGTTTCGTGGTGTCGCAAAATAAACTGTTTACGGTAATATTTTTCATGTCCTGATGTCCCTGTAGTTATTATTCATTTCTTAAAGTTCTCTTTCTCTTAGATTTAATATAACCACTACGGACGCACAAGCGCCTGGTTTTATGCGTCATCATTAGCAAC